GTTAATCCCTGTAATTATGACTTTTAAGTAACGTTACCCGCTTTGTCATCCCATTGCCCTTAGGAGCTTAATAACGAAATGAAGTGGCACGAAAAGAAGCGCACAGAAGGAATGCAAAATGCATAAAATTAATCTGGAAATCATTATGATATGGTGCTTGTAAATGCATATACTGTACCCTCGCAATAAGGAAAAATGTCAGCTAAACTTTCTTTTTGATAAATAAACAAAGAAAGATCAAATCACAGACATCACTAACTTCAGTATTATGAATTTTGCGTTCCAGACTCGTCTTTTAGTGCTATACGACATTTCGCCAAGCTATCCGTGAATGATTTCCGTACTAGTACAACTGTCTTAATAGTGCTGACCTCACGATTTGCTGCTACATCTTTTATTCATTAAGTTATTGGATAAATCTTCTGTAGACATTGGGACTGCAGTTTGTAATGACCAAGAAATTACAATATAAAAGCTATTACAATCAATAATATGATAATAAGCTGATTTAGATTCACCAAGCGTGTCCATCAACTCACATAATTTTGTAACTATCAGCGATGAGTGCGATGCATACTAGACTGTGCCTGTCTTGATTAATTTTGGTACCCTTTATCATAATTATTTTTCATAGGCCTTTGCTGAGGGCCGGGAGCATACATATGTTTTTTTTTTTGTAATCCTGACCATATTATAACAAATACACCACAAAGAGGTCATCATGACTTGGATGGGGCTAGTGGCAGATGTTCCGAGGGGGGGGGGGGGGCACAACTGCGTAAAAGCACGCAATAAGGAAGCGACGTTTTTGTTGTATTTATGTGCCAAGTGGGTTTAAATGGGGGAGGGGGAGGGGGGGGGGGCACGGGGCGCCAGTTGTGTCCCCCCAAAAAATATGGGCCTTTGGGCCCATGCAAGTCTTGATGACCTCTTTGTGGTGTATTTTTTATATTATGTTTTTTTTTTGTAATAGTGGAGAGGGGCACTTTTCGTGCATCTTATATATAGGCCTATTTCTTTTTGCTTAGTAGTTATTTTCAAGACATGTGCCCCTGCCATGTCTGTCGACATACTTCGAGGAAATTATCATGGCATGGCAGCCTTGTGTTGTGTTGCATGTGGGAATAGCTCCTTGATTCTGCAGCATGAAGAAACATCAATGAGACAAATTCTTTGAGGGCGCCATCGACATCAAGCAACGCGCTCATGACATTTTATTTATGTATTTAAAAGGAAATCTGTTAATGTCTAGAAATTTGTTTTCTAACTGTTTCTGTTATATTTAATTATTTTGTTATCGAACGCTGAATTAAAATGTAATCAAACAAACAAACAAACATTATGCCAGGGATATCTCTCTTATAATGATACAATGGACTGTATACCTCAGTTTAATGCACGTAGACAGTGCGCTTATCGGTGTTGTATTCGGTACCTTGGTATTAAAGGTAATACAAAGTATTGGTATGGGGTCATGAATTTGGTTCAAATGCAGATATTGGAAACATAAGCGATCGTTCAATATTCAGTGGTCGTTGGCGCGGTTGAAATCGAGTGTAAAGTGGTGAAATTGTAATAATAAACTGTTTATGTTGTATAGCTCCCTCTCAAGGTCAATATAATAATTTAACTATAAAATAATGTTTCTTGACTAAAATCGACCGATTGGCTATTCCCGTTCGGAAATTATATATCACAACTACATATTCTGAGATTTTCATGGTCGTAGCTACCATTGTATGGCCGTAGGCGCTATTTGAAATTTATCAAAATTTACCGGGAGCACCGGTAAATATTTATATTCAATTTATCTCGAAAGCAGAAGTGTTTTAGGAGCTAAAATTTCTAGTGCTTTAGGGGCATCCAAATGTACCAAAATTGTACAGAATCACTATCCAGCCAATTTTCAAAATTTCCCAAAACTTTGTATTACCTTTAACATACACGAAGCCTCGAAATCACGAACACGCGTTGACTATTTTGTTACGTTCCACGAACTTCTGTCTGGTATTTTTGAGATTAAAGGTGCCGGGAAGAAAATTGAAATAAAGACATGCTTGACGCACTTTTGAAGGTTTAACAGATTTTATAGCTACTCTGCATAAACCACAAAGTATATTCGAATACAAATTATCGGGCCACAATTTTGGATTGTTTATTGGTTTGTATCGAAAGAACTTATAATCACTTTTGGCCATTACAAGTAGTGGGTTATTGATGTAGACAAATGCTCGTGTACCCTTTATACAGCTCATTTATGTACGTTATTACCAAAGAAGAAAAAAGACCAGTCAGTCACTCAATAGTGTCTGACAGTGAAGTCAAGCAAGTAAACGGGTTTCTTTGCATAATTTGAATATTAGGACACTGCTAACGTTTAAATTTCAGAGATATGACATACCTGCCACATTCATAATTCCTGGAAAGTTCTACAGAATTTGATATTGGCTGCAAAAGGGACATAGCATCTTTAATGCTGAATATGATTTTATTTGGCCCCGGTACATTTCATTTACTATAGAGCTCTCATATTGTTTAGAACTGTTGGCATTGTAGCCAGTTTTTTTATGAGACACCCTGTTTGATGGTGTAATAAATTGGCACCACATCCCGATCATAACTTGATATGTTATGCAGTCGACATGATCATTGAATCAGTTGAGCTCTATGTTTGGTTAGGGGAGACACTGGGTTCCGCCGCCCCCCCCCCTCAATTTCGAATGGCAAAAAGTAGAATAGCACGAAGGAGAAATAATAGGTTAACATTGGGAGGGACGAGAGCAATAGGAAGAAAACATGGAAAGAGAGAGAGGGAGGGAGGGATGGAAGGAGGGAGAGAAGGAGAGAGAGAGAGAGAGAGAGAGGCCTGGGGAGGGGGGGGGGTAACAAAAGGGGAGAAAAGAAATAGAATGGAGATAAAAGGGAGAGAATGACATAACTATGAACGGAAGATAAAAGATAAAAGTAAAGTTACCCTGCCTATTTTGGAAGGCATGACACCGTTCCCCCATGGACCAACACTACATGACTTTGTGTCACTAAAGGAAAGGGTTTTGACGTCTCTTGCCCAAATGTAAATTGTTATTCGATTAATTTCAGCATGCAAGAAAATATTTAATACGTCAGGTACTTTTGCAATAATAATGTCGGGAGAATGGGGTGGGGGCTCTAACTGTCGTTCAACCCCTCCCACCATGATCATAAGCGATATGATTCTGTATAATTATGATAGCGTGGTACACGCATGCATGCCAGTCGAGGGATGTTGACATTGAGGCAAGTGCAAGGTATCGAAGGAAGTGGTGGAACGGGTGCTGACAGGTGGTCAGATCAGAGGGCAAGAAGGGAGGCACTAAAGGGCAAGTCAGGCGGGAAGATTTGGCAAGGGTTGTATGGCTTCAAATACTAGATTGAGATTTCCTCTCTACAGAGTATAAGAGGTGGACCCTCTCCACCCCTTTACTCCCCTCTCCCCCTCCCTCCCCCCCCCCTCTCTCTCTCTATTGCACTCGTTATCCTGTATCTGTCTTTTGATCCATGTATTCCTCAAGCAAACTTGAGTACCACGTAAGAGTTGAAGAGTGGGTTTGCACGAGTGGTAAATGAGAATCATCGCATCTTGGTCCATAATGTTCCCACTGAATATAGACCTATGCTGTAGAACAAAAAGCAGCAATTTATAGTGCCAAATTTATGAATTTGTTAACTATATACGTCCCTTCTCTGCATGGGATTGGATGATTATTGTTAATGCTTTTGATTTTGAGTTGAGCTATAGGCGCTGGTGCACAGTTATTAGTGGCATAGACATTATTGTAGCATAATTATGTACATGGGCGTAGCTCCTCCTTCTTTGTGAAGGTCTATATAGCAACATAATTATGTCAGCAAAAAAGCTTAAATATGTCAAAACTTCTCTTCGATTCAACATGGATATATCAATAGAGTCTGTGCATTTGACCCCTCCCCCTCGTTTAAAACCGAGTTTTGAAATCTCACTAAATAGCTACAGGCCTAGTCTCTCTGCAAATTTTAGTTTGAGACCCATTTGGTCTACATTTACTCTGGACATAAATACACCAGAGTATAAAAAGTGATATAAAAAGAGTAAAATAATTATTTGTTATTGATTTTGTCAGACGAACCATTCGGGTCAAAAGCCATCATAAAACGAACTCTGCGTTAGTGTACCTTGAACTTTGTCCAATATTTAGGAATTGATCACAACGTAAAATGGTTGAATCATTATAATATCTCACATTGGCAGCCTACGAAATGATAACGTCACAATGAATGTCTGTGTTCCTTTTGTACCACAGTTACATGACTCACACTGCGAGGTAGGCATATACATTGAATATAACGGAACACCGTTTTGTCCGCTATCGGATGAGTATGACAAACGTTATTTTACAAACCATAGTCGAGTGTATTGTTATACTTGTTTGCAGATACACCCTGTACTAGCTTTGTCTAGGTGGCTGAGAGATGTGTTCACACTCTCTTAATACACTCATGAACAATGGTTAACACGAGCGAGGTGGTGATAAGATGAGGAGCGAAGGGGGGGGGGGGGGCGATGCACTTTTATGATTTCACCTGCTTACCTATTTGTACCCCTGTCTTTATTTCCCGCCATCTCCTTCCTCACACCATTGACCGTACATGCTCACAATCCCCAGTCACCTCGTTTCCCCATTCCCCCCTTTTTATTAAGGGGGGGGGGGGGGGGGTTGTGTAGGAGGCAAAGAGACATGAGTCCACCTGTCACTGGCTCAATCACTTTTCTTGGGCGGGGCGCAGTATAAATGTCTTTCAAATTTCAGGACTGTTAATTTACAGGTAAAAGCTTTGATAAATCTTCTTCTTTTCTACCCGGATCATTGGCCAATTATTAATCAATGATTTTGATTTTCATCAAAGAGTCGATCTAATCAATAATGATGGACTACCATGAGTTAACCTGCTAACCTGTTAACCAATACGTCACCCAATTCACTCGATCAATAAATCAAAACCTGCCGGTATTTAGTCTCAATCGCATTGTGAGTTATCAATACAAATTAGTTCTTATAATGAGTCACTTACTGGCGCAGCATTAAAACCAATTCCCGGCTCAATAAACACTTATATACTTTACAAGAGTTTGTCATAAGGCCAATACACGTGCTTCAATCAGAGAATTGAGTCACTAAAACAGCAAATCTTCATAAATCATATCTACTCACAGTTCACCGACTGGATTAGTTGCACTTTTCTACGTCTGAACAGCTTTTGAACTTCCGCATTCGAATTGAAAGTTCAATTGATATGTTCAATTCACGTAGCTTTTTGCATGCATGCATGCATGAAATTCGTGAAACGAAGCACCAGTGGCTAATGCTGTGGATTGTTAATGTTTTATGAGATCCGTCGAGTGGATTTTAAAGGAAAATGTCGTCTTGGTGGGGACAACGCTCACAGGCTATGAGAATACCAGAGAGGAGGAGACGGTCATACATTTATGATGATTTCTTTGGATCGGTTAGTGTCAATAGATGAAAATTAATGAGAAGTTGTATCAACAAGTTGTTCGCAAGTGCTATGGCATGACATCGGAGACCTTATCGCTTTTGGGCCGGACCACGCCGGGTGCGATGCGGAGCGTATGGTGCTTGCTAGTGCTGGCGGTGAATTCGAAGTGCACCGCGTGGTTGCGTGTGGGGCCGGGGTGTTTGTGATCAGTTCATTGCTTGGTTGGCTGTTTCGGTCCTTGAGTCCATTCACCTCAAAGCTCCCCTATTATTACTCAGGGAGATAATGCGAAGGTAGACAGTACAAGAGAAAGTAACTGAATGAGAGAATTTAATTCAATAGCTACCCCTTGCCCGCTATTCAAGTATCGACAATATATTGATTTCTTCTTCTGTTCACCGACCGTGTGTACGAATACAACAAGCGCTGCACTATTGCGTTACTCAAAGTTAGTTTACAAAGTTATGGAGTCGTATTTTATTGGTTATGGAAGTAATATACACTGATGACGAAGAATTGGTAAGAAAAAATAACATGCTAGTAAATATAACTGTTTGTTTGAGGTGTGATTTAATTAAACTCAAATTGTATGGTTGTATTTACACTGATCGAGATTTGTCCAACTCCCGGGTCTAACTTTGATGTGTTTTTTTTTTTGCAGGAGAATCGCGGGGAGTCAGCGGCGGGGTCAGGCATCTTCTACCCCATATCATCGGGGTCGCACAGCGTTGGAAACCCGCAGGCGGCGCAGGCTCAGACACAGGAGAGCCCGCGGCCGAATCACCATCATCCCTTCCACTTTCATCACCATCCTCATCATCACTCGAGAGATAAAGATCATATTGGACACAATCCCCACCCTGGTGGTGAAATCATGTTAAAACCAAACTCTTTAAAAATCGGCCCACGGATTGAGGTTACAGATTCAACAGACTCATTGGATAGAGAAGTAGAATGTCTCAGCTCTCGGTAAGTCAATTATATCAATTATTTAGAAAATATATATTTTAAATTTTATACATCAAACATCAATTAAATAAAGCATGTATTCTTAAAAGTTTGTGTTTGTATGATCTATTGATGTCAGATATACTGTATACTGTACATGCATACAACAAAATATCTTTTGTATACAAAAGGCAGTTAGAAAGAAAAAAAAAGTTCTAAATTACTGGTACATTTAAAATGCTGAAAATGGGAGATACAGATTGATGAAGGTTAGAATGGTAGAAGCATTTACTTCCCTGGGTGGAGAGTGGCAAATGTAAATGTAGATTAATATCTTGCCAAAGGACATTACTGCCACAATCAGGTGACATGTCTAGTAGACCACAATACCTCTATGATTTCTGAAGAATGTTATGAATGTTGAGAATAGAACTCCAAATCAATGCTGCAGTCCTATCTGTCTTCATCTACTGTTCTCAAATCTTACATTAGTTCATAAAGATCTGCACACAGCTATCTGTTTGAGTTGAGGTGATTTGGTTTAGGCCTTTATTCCAAATGAACCAAATATTGGTCTTAGATTATTACAAATGTAAGTTATCATCATTCTATTGGAAAACCTTTTTGGCCCTAGTGCACATGTATGCACCCTGAATTTGAAGGAAAGAAAGCCTATTGTGTAGCCCCTGTCTTTCAATAACCCTAAAACCCCAAACGTACTCTAACCATGAAGAGTTACAATTTGGGGTGCCCAAAATCTAAGTCTGGACCCCCCCCCCCCCCAAAAAAAAAAGTTTTTAGTTTACATAGGGCTCTAGCATACAGACTGTAAAAAGGTCATCTGGAGCCCCTCCCAAAACAGTTAGTGTGGACCCCTTCAATAAGATAAACTGGATTTTGACTTTATAACAGACTGCATAGTGCACCCAGTCTACACCCTACCTGGACTACCTCACAGTCACAGTAGTATATTTATTGAATACAAAAGTGGAGCTCTATATTGAACATGTTTGATAGAGTGTGGCAGTGTGCATGTCTATCAAGTACATCCAGGGAAGTCTCCTTGAATACAGGATCTGATTGAATTGGGTCCAGTAAACGTCATTTGTAAACTCTGTGCTTATCAACCTTAAAGGTACAGTAGTACATGTATTCCTATTGAATTTTTTATTCCCATAACTACAAGGGTGTACATGTACATTTACATTACCTTATTTCATAATATAAAGTGTACTGTAGAAAATACTTTGGAATATTTCAAGCAATTATTTTGTTCTCGTTTATTATTTTCTTAGGGGGGGGGGGGGTACACCATGTTCATTTAACAGGACCTAAACAAAATATTCTAATAGGAATGGTTGGTTAAAGAAAGAAAGGAAAAATACTTTGCCATATTAAGAGACATCAGAGTCTCTTGATAGATTTATTGGAAGTAAAAGTAGAAGGTACCCGATCAAGAGGGAAACCAAGAACTACAGTGTAAGTGACATTGCAAGAGTGTACAGTGTATGGCAGAAAACGGAGATGTGTGGAAAAATGTTGCAATCAAGCTCTGAGCTGGGAGAAGATACCTTGATAAATGCTTAATAGATAGATGAACTACAGGTTACATGTGTATTGTGCTTTTAATACAAAGGTTGACAGGGTACATGTAAGTGACCTTGGCTTGGATTATCATACTGGGTTTATTGATATCAACCAGAGCGCATCCTGAGTGCTACCTGCTGTCATTATCTGCTCAACTTTGAACTAGTTTTGTTCCGATTGAAGACGACTAGCTGTACATGTACACAACGTACATCGGACTAACTTACATTGTAAACATGCAGATACACTGTACAAATGTACAAGTATGTGCGTAATTTGTTTGCTAATAATAAAAGTTGTGAAGTTCCAATAGTGTGTAGAAAGTGGCTTACTTCATTCTATCGAGTCTTCAGTTGGGTTGGGTTGGGTTGGGTTGGGTTGGGTTGTAGGGTTACCAAGTTTCTTGTGCAATCATGCCCCCATATTGACGATTGGGTATATAAAATAATCATTTTTTTTCAAAGGAGGACTTTGATATAATATTGCCATTTACATTTGTGAAAACATATTTGAACAATGTATATTTACAAAAGTGTCAATTGCAAGCCGTTTACGACCTCTAATGATTATTTAATCTCCTATAAAACAGTGTTGGGTAGAGATGCTACTTTATGTAGATTTGGTGTGCACGTGTTGGGTAAATTGGAGAGGAGCTCACAAGATACATGTATGTCACAGTGTTCCCAATTTGTGTTTGATTGATCGCAGCTTCAAAGATTTATAACTTTTTAAATGGGCTCAAACTTTATCTGACCTGTTCTTCTTGTTTTTATCCTTCTATTAAAACCAACCTACATGTAATATCAGGTAATGTTTATATTATTGTGAACTGCCCCTTTAACGAGTTCGAGAAATTTGTTTAGCTTTATTTTGTTGGAAAATAGAGAGCATGGATTACTAGAGTATTAGTTGTTATTGGCTAAACTGGTCTTTTTGACATGGACCATGATTGTTTTAGTGACCAAAGTACATTGTTCGAGACACACTGTGAAGCTCTTTGTTAATGCAAAGAAAAAAGTTTAAACACTCTAAGTTGGATTTGATTGGATTTAAATATGATGTTCGCGAAACTAAAATGAAATCTTTGTGTCATTTCCTCAATATCTACCTTTCCTGTTATTGTCCCATCCTGTTGAAGATTTGCAAGAAAAGGACATGGTCCTGTGGACTGTGACACCTAATACGTTGTAAACGGAACAAATGGAAAGCCTCTTATTGATTTTGGATCGAGCTGGCTTTTATTGGAGAAAGGCTGGAATGGAAGTAAAAGGATTTCAGCCCACTTTTGAGAAGGCTTTGAGTTGAGATCTCTCCTATTTAGAGCATGGAAGAGTGTGTTTTTATAGTGGGTGTCTGTAGTGCTCAGCGGAATAAGTAGACCGTAGCTCAGAGTGGTTTTCCAAGGTCTGATACCATGGGTATTATTATTTGCTGTACTATAGCCCCCCCTACCCCCAACAAATAAAGCATAAACTTGTTTGTACTAGGGCTAGCCCCCTCCCCCCTCTCCACAATCAAAGGGCATGTATAGTGAGGCCCTTATGCCATATACTGTACATGTTCAAGACTCTTATTTTTGTTCTTTACACTTTTAAGTTTTATCCCACACATTTAGTGTATACAAGTACTGTAATAATAATAATAATAATAAACGTTTTATTTACCCAGGGTAGCCACTTCAGTTATGAAACTGATCTTCTAGCGAGCCCTGCATAACATAATATGTTATTACTACCCTTCTCCAATCTAATATGCTGAGTGCCTAGCTAGAAGGCAGAAGGTCCCATTGTTATAAGTCTTTGGTATGACTCAGCCGAGGTTCAAACCCACGACCTCCCATTCATGAGGCGGGTGTACATTGCAGATTGCATCATTTCTTTATATATATGTCATTGTCAATGATCTTTTAGAGAAGATGTACCATTGTATCTTAAAATCCGCAAAATCATAGCAAGTCAGTAAAAAAAAACTAGATGATGTGTCTGTAAAAATTCAACCTGATAAACATATTGTCCATTTAATAAAGATTTTTCCTGATTGTACAGCATATCAATGTGCTCATGTTCATCCAATAAAAGTAAATATGGAACCAAAATGTTCCTGGATACATGGTCTGAATAAAAGCTCATTTTTAAAATCCTTCCTTAGACATACCAGGAACTTTACTGAAATAGACTACCGGTATTGCTCCCAAGTCAAAGGAACTCATTTTTGTGCACAATACACTGTACTGCAGGCTTTTACAGAACAACAGTATGACTACAAGTAATGTCAAAACTTAGGTAGCACAGTACATTGCATTAATACCTGTACCGTGTAGATACCGGTAGACGATAGTATAGAATCAAAGTAGAGCATGTTGCATACTACAATGGCAGGTTTATGGTGTCCGAACATGTACATATTCAATAAAAGTAGTACTTCATTTGCTATCTTTGTTCGGCTGCTGAATAAAGGAGAGGATTTACACAGTACGATGCCCCATTTCCTCACTTTTGTATACATTTTGAGCATCCCCCCCCCAAAAGTGTTTATTCATGTATGTACAGGTACTGTACATGTACAAATGTATACCGGTATGCAATGTTTAGTAGACTCCGTTAGTAATCGTTTACCGGTAACTAAAGTTGTTTTTTTTGTGTAAATGTTTTTATGTAAAATTGTAAATACATGTACATTACATACCTTATGATCAATTCAATACATAAACCAGTGCCATTTACAAACTCCATGTATATATATACATTATTCATTGAATTGTTATTACAGTTTCCTGGTGTTTGTTTAGTTTTTATCTATATTTGATTAGTCATTACCAGTACAATACAAACAAAAATTATTGGAAATAGTTTTTTCACTGCTATTCTGTAGTACATGTAATAATCAAAGACCTTAAACAAATAAATCTCTTCCAACGATCAGATCTGTGAATAGTCAATAATAGCAGCATAAAAATGTTATTGGTTCCGTAGAATGAATGAATGAACATGATCACATGCTGTCCTTAGTCTGCAGGCACAGACTCTTGTTCGACACTTGACCACAATTCCTAAAGCCTAGGGCAGAGCCTAGCTTTGTTAGTCACTAGCTGTATCTGCCTGTCTAGAGCAGCTACCTGTAAATTACAGAGCCTATATGTTCACCTGTAGATGATGTCGGTCTAGTCTAGCTGTGCAGACACTGTTATGGACAGCTACTGACAAAAGGTTTGTGTCTGTAAACTAGCTAGTCCTGATGTGTGAAATTGATACAGTGTACTATACCAGCATGTTTGTTTTATAAAGCTGGAGTGCTGCCATAATTTAGTGCCTGGTTGGCATGATTTACTACTAGTACACTCTCTTTATAGGCTAATCTCTCCTTGTACTCACTGAAATGAAATGTTTATGAAATGACATGTTTATTGTGTCACTGACTTTTGAAGTAGAAGGATCATTTTTTTCTTCCATGTTTTTGTGAATTATTCTGGCCTCTTAAAGGGACAGTTGAGTTCTGTTGCAGAGGGCGCCACACAAAATAATTTTTTGTCACTTAATGGAAACTGTGTGTCAAATTTGAAAGAACATACAATTTAAATGACAGAATCATCTTTGTTTGATCAAAATCGGTTCAGAGACGGCTGA